TGCAATTGTTTAATAAAAATCTAATCCGCTGCAACGCGTGAGCGAGTTCGACGAAAAGTGACGATTGCGCGGATTCGTCGGGAGTGGGAGAGGATGGCGGGAGATCCCCGCGCGTCGAATAATAACGAGTATATACAAACGTCATTTTACTATGAGTGCCTAACAAATCCGTCTATTTAACGACTGATTATTTTGAAATCCGAAATACATATAATTTTTTTCTTTAATGTAGTAATAATATTTAGGCAATATAGTATCCAAATATGGTAAAAAGTGAATTTCGTGTTTTTTTTAGAACCTCATTATTCTACGTTCATGAAGAATTGTGTGTAAAAAAGTTGTTTTCCCGATGGATACCGCATTCGCTCTGTGAAGAGCAAAAATCGGCTCGCGTTACTTGGTGCATCAGAACTCTCGAAAGATTCCACGCAGGATCCTCAAATGCTGTATACAACATCGTATCAGGTGACGAATCCTGGATATACGCGTACGAACCTGAAACAAAAAACCAGTCACGAGTTTGGGTGTTCGAAAATGAGTTAAAGCCAACAAAAATTGTTCGTTCACGGAGTGTTGCAAAAAAAATGGTGGCCAAGTTTGTCTGCAAAACCGGCCATGTTACGACTATTCCTCTTGAGGGACAAAGAACGGTTAATGCAGAATGGTATGCTAGCATTTGTTTGCCACAGGTCGTTTCTGCACTCCGTAAAGAGAACTGCAACCGCCGCATCATCCTCCATCACGACAATGCGAGTTCTCACACCGCACACAGAACAAAAGTTTTTAGAGCAAGAAAACATAGAATTATTAGACCATCCGCCGTACAGCCCCGACCTAAGCCCTAATGATTTCTATACTTTCCCTAAAATAAAGAATAAATTGCGTGGACAGAGATTTTCATCATCTGAAAAAGAAGCTATGGACGCCTACAAAATGGCCATTTTGGAGACCCCAACTTCCGAATGGAATGGTTGCTTCAATGATTGGTTCCATCACATGGAAAAATGTGTCATATTTCGCGGAGAATACTTCGAAAAGCAAGAAAATCCATTTTTAAATAGTAATGTTGTGTCACTTCCTTGATTCCCGAAATTTTCAGTGCCGCCCTCGTAATTTATACATTATAGCTTCCGATGTCGGGGCTAGATCAGATATTAATTCTTATGTACACTATGTCTTAGCTACGACCTCATAAAGTATTGTGTGAAAATTATTTTATTCGTTTAGTTCCAATAGTATTCGTGCTAGATACCACTAGTAACCTTGCGCTCGTCCCACCTCGAGCAGTGACGCACACAGAGAACATTGTGGTGTGCGTTAATATTAGGCCGTTCCAGAGATATTTTGACTTGCGCATATTTGAATATACGCTCATAACTTATAATCACTTAGAACTTATTAATTACTGTGTGAAACTTATATATATTTCTGCAAGGAGCAACATTCTGCTAAACTTTGTATCTTAAACAAGAGGAATGCCATAGTAGACTGAGTTAAAACTTAAGTAAATTAATATTCTGAGTGACGATGGTGTACTTAATATTGTAGTTTAAGCATCTTAAATAAACACCAAACACTTAAGAAGGAGTAATTAATAAAGTTGCATTTACTGCTACTAAAACCTTTTACTTATCCCGTAATGTAGGAAACCCAACACAGTGCAGCCACCAACAATAAGCATACTCTGCGTTTGTCGCAATAATGAGGGTGCATGGTCATGTCAGAACTACTGTGACTACTTCACAACTTTACTTGGAATAAAGCGGTGTTAAATAAAAAAAATGATTGAAGTAAAGTAACAGCCTATATCGACCCGTTACTGAGTAAATGCATCCTCTTTTTTTTTTAAGGGATTTTGGAGTAAAAATGTTGCGTAGCGCCAATGCGAAATGTAACTTAAGCGCTTTTTTCCTGAGCTACAAAGGTTTAATAAATAAAATAGTATACTAGTAATAGTACTAACAATTTCCACAAATAAAAGTGCATAATTTTAGCCATTTCAATTTATTTCACATAATTATCTTCGAGACTGGTTGACATAACTATAAATAACAAAGTATAAACAAACGAGGGTACGAATTCTAAGTAAAATAACTGTGGTTGGACTCAACTGGTTTGATCTGAAATTGCTACAGGGTAGAGAAGTACACTATTCTTTCGATAATCACAAATTATGTATCATGCTACACATAAATGTTTATATACTGCAATATACATTGAATATCTATATAAACTAATCGCCTCCCCAAATATTTTAATTTTTAAAATAAACCATATTTCGTTACGAAAATATTGGTTAATCATAACAAATATGGTTATAACAAATTTAGGAACTATATCATGAATTAAAAAAATATAAAAAATGGCGGTAGTTTAGATAACGACCGTTAATATTTGATAACTTTAATTTCACATATGTAAAGTTTATACTTGATCGTATAGATCTTAATAAAAGTATTAATTTAGCGCCAAAATAATGGTCCGCCATTTTGTCGTAGGAATAACAGATCAAACACTAAAAATATTATTAAAACACTTAACACCTATTCTGGCACATCTCGCAATTTGTACAGCCATCATACCCTGAGACTATCCCCGCCCCGTACACAAAGTACATTTAAAAATTATAAATAACATGAATATTCTTAACATAAGAATAACTACAACATAACGTTTCGTTCGATTCACTGGAAATTAGTATACATTTTCATTAGGACTCTTCCTATATTATGTACGCGCCTTTACCTGTCACACGGTCTAAAAATATTTTATATTGCGATTTATCAACACAAAAATTCTGTCAGATATATTTAACCAGTCTCATACATACATATTAATGTGTCATATTATATAAAACTAATACATAAGCGATATAATATCGTGTTTACTACAGTTAAATCCTCAAACTGTTTCGACAATAACATGAATATAGTTCAATGTTTTACATTATTATAGTATTGAATTATGTAACAGGAAATTAAACGCGCATCCATAAATTAATCAGAGAGATCGCTCAATTATTTGCAAATCTTACAGAATTGCAGATTATAAAAATTATTTTACAAATATCAAGGCTACCAACTGAATGATTAGTTACAACAAATGTCACGTCATAAAGTTGTTTATAAATAGATAAAATCGATTTCACACGTTTTAATTATCCCTATAAATTGTCAATATTTATTATTATATAATTATTTACAAAGTGTAAGTATATATTTTGAAACTTATGCTAGTTAAAAATGCGGTTTGTTATTTTTGTAATAAATTGGGCGATATTTCTGATTGCTTTTTTTCTTTACCTTATATTAAATATGTTTTCTATATCATATATGACACTTTGCATGTATGGGTAACAGATTCCTGAGGTATTTACGATCATAAGTACTGTTCCACTTGTCTCGAACAGATTTTTGTAACAATAATTATAGATATATTTATATGTTAAACATTGATAATTAATTCAACAATGCAAAACATGATACATTATAAGTGGAACAGATATAAAAATAGACATACAATAGATATATTACGGCATAAAATACATCTAACTGGTTTAAATAAATCTTCTGAATAACAACCAATTAAGCCGTGAAATTTTAAAAGCACATTTCTTCTAGAGAACGAGTTACACTTAAATATTCATTGAATAGAACGGGCGTAGAATCATGATCGACTTTTAGCGCACAAAAATGAACATAACGACTACACCAGTAATTAACAAATCCCTATCTTCCGTTGATATACACAGAAGCGTCGAAATAACATAACTAAAGTTAATTCTGCCGAAAACGGCCCCCGCTTTACCTGATACATTTACTTCAATGTGCAGTCAAGAAAACAACCTATTTTGTTAATTTCCTTATAAGATATGAGGTATCACTACATGTTATTTAAAACTTTTATAAATCGCACTCTGTACTTATGTTTGAGGCAGTAAGTAAAGCTACCTATAATATTATAAAGTGGTAAATATAATGTTTTATATTTTCGTTGTAAAAATAATTCCTTTTCTATTGCAATCTTTTTCATATTGCTATTTAAATATATGCAGTTTATTTTATATAAAAACTAAGTCGTATTTAAAATGCCTTATAAACGACATATTTATAATATAATTTTTTATTTGTTATTTGAGTTTCTGTACATTTTAAAGTAATATAGAAAACAAAGTATTAACTTACATTATTTTACTTCAACTCAACGTTTGAGGTATTTTTATTGGTATGTATGTAGCATGCGTTCTCTACGTATGAAACATCCTCCACCGCATTAATCTCGATACCTTATCGCCCAGTAAAACTAGATATAATTTTAATATTTTACAAAAATAGTAACAAGTTTTGTACTAGATCCGTCCATTGTTTTGTACATTATTGGCGCGGGGACGCGACAGTATTTCCCGCCAAAAGTAACATAAGTAAAAGTCAAATTATTTTCTAGTGTCCCAATCAAAACCCGCTCGTCACTTCACAGCCATAATAACACAGACTAAACAATGCCCATAAATAACGTACACTCACGATAACAATCACATTCCTCACGACAACAACAAAACGTTTCCGCTTCGCGAACATTAAATGCAGATTAAAAAGTTATGGCAAAAGAACTTTTCTACCGATGTGATATGATTTTGTGATGACAAATGAAACTTCAAAGTCGCGACCCCGCGTCCTTTAGCCATTTAGACACTGCGCGAATGTTTGCTCCCACATTCCGGTCCTTCCAAACCCGATAGAGCAGGGTCGTAGGTACAAAGATAGCCTAACTGTTAAGGAAGCGTCGTAGCGACACGCGAAACGTAACTCGAGTAATGAGGAAACTGCGCATGACAACTTTAATTCGCCACTTTTTAACGCCCATACAGAAAAAATTGTTCACAGATCAAAAACGTTCGAAAGTTCAAGCGTTTTTAAAACAACAAATATAACACAACCATCTTCGAATGTACCATCAGTTCACAATTACGGCGCCATTGCCCAAGAAGGGTCAGTAGAGGTCTACCGGAGACAGGCCTCCAGCATTTCGACGAAGAGTTTGTTCATGGGCGCGCGTCTATCCCGATGTACGGCGGCCCAGAAGCGTCGCACCGACACGTCCGCGTGCCGCAGCGCTGGCAGCACTAGCAGCAGTTGCTGTAGCGCTGCGTTGCCGTTGTATGGCCTGAAATATACGGCTTACATTCAACACGTCTTCACATAGTACTATACTATAGTCTAGACAACTTCTCATGTACATGAATGAATATATATTTTTATGCCTTTTTTATTTCGACCAATTTGGATGAAAACGTGTTAGTAATACAAGTAATACAAGTATCTTAATTTGTTGTATGCTGTATGCTGATGATGCAGTGCTTATTGCACCATCAGAAGCAGAACTGCAGGCATTAGTCACGTGTATGAAAGAGGAATGTGAAATTAAAGGTCTCCGTTTGAATGCTAATAAAACTAAGGTTCTGGTATTTGAAAAGGACGAAGAGAGAACGAAATGTGAAATATGGGTAAATCAGGAATGTCTAGAACAGGTAAATGAAATTGTATACTTGGGGAGTGCTTTCAGCCGGGATGGAAGATGTGATTTAGATGTGGATAGGCGTGTCGCTGCCGGAAACAAAGTCAATGGTGCCCTGAATGCATTAGTCAAAAGGCAAGGCGTGGTGAAGAGTGCACGCCTTGCAATACATAACGCAGTGTTGGTACCGACTTTGTTATATGGCAGCGAAACCTGGGTATGCCAGAAGAATCATAAAAGCAAATTGAATGCAGTGGAGATGCGATCTCTTCGTAAACTGTGTGGCGTTACCATAGCCGACCGAAAGCGAAACGAAGAGATTCGCAATATGGCAGGATTGAAAGATGACCTTATCACAAAAATTGATATGGGCGTACTCCAATGGTTTGGGCACGTTGAGCGAATGAGTGAAGACCGAATGGTGAAGAAAATATATAGAGCGAAAGTAAATATTAAAAGGTGTCGAGGTAGACCGAGACTAACTTTCGAAGACCATGTGAGCAAATTGCTCGAAGAGGGGAGGGTCAAGAGTACTCGGATACCTAGACGTGCATGTATGAAGAAGTTAATGAACCTGAAAGAAGCGAAAGAGGTATGTAAGGATCGTGACACTTGGCGATCTGTTCTCTCTGGCTACCCCGTTAGGGATTGTGCGCGAAGATAAGTAAGTAAGTAAGTTAATTTGTTTGTAAAAGAAAAACTAAAATTAACCACTCGTAAAGTCTACTTAACCTAAGAACGTTTATTTGTATTGAGCGTAAGACTGTTTATTCAGCGGGTGCGCCCAAGTGTGTATACGGTATCGTTTTTCGCGTCTGTGTGTAAATGTGTTCTCGAGGCGCGTCTCCGAGTTGGCGAGCGCGAGCTGTGTGTGAGTGCGTGTGTGTACGTGCACGTGTGCATGTGTGTGTGTACCTGAGCGCGTGCGTGGCGTCGTTGAGCGCGGCGAGGATCGCGTCGCGGAAGCGGCGCAGCGCGGCGTGCTCGTCGAGGCGCGCCTCCGAGTTGGCGAGCGCGAGCGCCTTCAGCAGAAAGCACTCCTCGCGCAGCGCGCCCGCGCGTTCCAGCCGTCGCGCCACGCCGCACACCTCAACACAAACACAACATCAAACCTCTGGCTAGGGATTCGGTTTTGGGATTCGGTTTTAAGATACCAGGTCCAAATTAAAATAATATTTAAATTACAAAATGCAAAGAAAGAAAGCCTTTCGTACGTTACGTAGTACCTTACGTAGTTCTTTCACAAAAATAAATTGTTTATTTTTAATGCTGCCATTTTTAATGCCGATTTTACCACGTATTTGATGGTAAAAAACGCTCCAAAGCAAGGAAGAATCCCCCTCCCGCGGACTGTTCCTTGCTTTGGGGCACCATTTCAGAAATGAGACGAGACTTCTGAAGAAGGGATGAACAAAATTCTAACTTTAACGGAGAACAAAAATATGATGTTACCGTTACCGTTACAGCCTATTAAAGCCCATTGCTAAACATAGGCCTCCCCCAAGATTGTCTCATAGGGGGGATATTTGCCATAGTTGCCAAGCTTGGCAAGCGGGTTGCCGACCGCATTTTATTTTTATTTTTAGTCGTTATTAAGAACACGCTGCTGCCCATCTCATCTGCAGTGTACTTGCAGAAAGTTTGGTGTGGGTATACAGTCTGCTTGCTTGCAGGCAGTGTGGTGTGGGTGTGCATTGTACCTGCAGGTTGTGTGGTGTGGATGCGCAGTGTACCTGCAGGTAGTGTGGTATGGATGCGCAGTGTACCTGCAGGTAGTGTGGTGTGGGTGTGCAGTGTAGCTGCAGGTAGTGTGGTGTGGGTGTGCAGTGTACCTGCAGGTAGTGTGGTGTGGGTGTGCATTGTACCTGCAGGTAGTGTGATGTGGATTCATTACCTCAGGTAGTGTGGTGTGGGTGTGCAGTGTACCTGCAGGTAGTGTGGTGTGGGTGTACAGTATCCCTGCAGGTAGTTTGATGTGGGTGTGCATTGTACCGGTAGTGTGGTGTGGGTGTGCAGTGTACCTGCAGGTAGTGTGGTGTGGGTGTACAGTATCCCTACAGGTAGTGTGATGTGGGTGTGCATTGTACCTGCAGGTAGTGTGGTGTGGGTGTGCAGTGTACCTGCAGGTAGTGTGGTGTGGGTGTTCAGTGTACCTGCAGGTAGTGTGGTGTGCGTGTTCAGTATACCTGCAAGTAGTGTGGTGTAGGTGTGCAGTGTACTTGCAGATAGTGTGGTGTAGGTGTGCAGTGTACCTGCAGGTAGTGTGGTGTTGGTGTGCAGTGTACTTACAGGAAATGTGGTGTGGGTGTGCAGTGTACCTGCAGATAAAGATCAAGCGCGCCGATGTCGCGTGCCTGCTGCTCGTCGAGCGTGAGGTCTACGGCGAAGCGCAGGCGCAGCGCACCGGGCCCGGCGGCCGGCAGCGAGCGGTACGCCAGCATCAGGCTCAGCATTTCCGCCCACGTGCTCTGCAGCAGCCGCATCTGTGAGAGGGGGAAGGGATAGTTAGGCTTACAATGTATATACAACCTGTAATAACTATTCTCATCTAATCAACCTCAGGGGTTAAATTTTTCAAAATTCTTTCTTCGTGGGTGGCTACGTCGAGTAAGGAGTTTATTTGCCAAATTTTAATTCAATCGGGCGTACAGTTTTGAAGATATTGAGATGAGTGAGAGAGTCAGTGGTATTTCGCTTATAGTATAGATCTTGGACGAATTAACCAGACCCGACATAAAACACATATCTATGAAAACTCGTTCAACCAAGTGGAGAAAAACGCACCAAAGATTTTATTACGTTAATATAAATACAGATACGAAATTCGTAGAAATTCACTCTATTTCTAGTGCTTGAACGTAGTCGATAAAATATATCGATGAACGACTGAGAACGAAAAGACGTATCGTAAATAAGCTGTAAGACAAAGGAAATAAAGGGATAATGAAGGTGAGGTAAGCTTCCGGTATTTAAATTTTAATTAAAATAATATAAGCAGGTGTTTAAATATTTTAAGTACAGATACTAATTATAATTTTTGCATTTATAGATAATATTTTTATTTAATTATAAAAATTACTATTATAAATTTAATGACATTAGATTGTAGGATACTGTTATATAAGTATTTTAAGTGTAATTGTATTGTACAAATAACATCATCATTCATTCGGTCATATCGTCAAATATCGATATATTTTTCGACATGGTCAAGCATTAGTCGATGTCAAATTGACTTACACCACAGTTTTAGTCATTTGTTTCGAATGGTATAATCCAACCCATTTTGTACCATTTTGTGATGGTTGTCAGATGTCAACAACAATAAACATCGACTATATTTAACATAGTTAGTTAATACAAAATTTTATTTTATATTTGATTAAATTGTGTGATAAATAACAATAAATGTAATAAAATAATGGTACTTACAAGTGAAAAGAAATAGTTCTGCTTCCGCCGCTATAGTTTTTATACCATTTAACTGAAGATTTAGTCATTTTTGGGAGATGTTTTGTCGACAAGTAAGTGCTTGAGACTGACGCAAAAACAAACGACCAAGGCTAGAATTTCCTGGTTACTGACAAGACCGGTATAGGTAAGTCCGCTTATATGTCGGGTCCAGTGGTTAATTCGTTCAAGGTATAGATATACGATGCTTGTAGACGGCTTGAGTCGTAAGTGAATCCATCACGTATACTTTGGATGTCATAAGTTACGAATATGGAAATGCCAAATATTTTTGACTTTCGATAGATGGCGTTATGAACTTCCCATTTACGCTAGAATAACACGTGACTCAAGTCAAACTATTTCAAATTTCCCGCGCACTCTCTTCGACCTCGTAGCCTTACGAATACTGCTGTCATACATATAAGGAGAGTTGAATTGAGCGACTGGTTTTCTCCCTCGCACGTGTGGGCTTTTTACCGGGCTTTCGAGAAGGCGATCGCTCCTTTTCTAACCTGTGGCAAAATGTTCTCTAATGAAATATAACTACGAAATGTTTATATAGCAATTACTATTGAGCCACAAGCCTGGCTTTGACCTGAAGTTGTGTAGGAGTGCGTTAGCGACTAGCGAATGGGGTGCGGGCCATTCGTATGCAATTTCACTTCACATTTCAATGTTTATGTTTGTTTTTGTTGTGTTTGTTAAAAATTTATGCTTTTTCAAAGATTTTCAGTGAAAATGGGAGGATAATAGTGTTCATTGTGATGAATATAAGTGTGTTGAAGTGCTAATCGGCGAGGAAAAGGTAAAATCTTTAAAAATGAAATTTAATATTCAATAAACATTTCTTCATACTTTAAATATAGGTACAGGACTCTTTAGTATTAAAGTTTAATTAAGTTAGGCGTATTTAAAGATTTAATAAGTCAATATTTATATTACCATATGAATTAAAAATATCATTTTGAACGGCAGCATAAAATATGAGACACCTAGGTTTAATTTTATAGGAAATAAGTGTTACAATCTTTTTTTACTATGAAGCCCAAATTTTAATGGAATAAATCAAAAGAATACAGAAGAATGTATTGAGGTTTTTAAAGAATACTTCCTTTAGTTATTTTCAGTATATCAGATTTTAATAGCGCCATCTACTTAATTCTATAAGTAAATTCATTTTATCGAACGAAAGTTGGTTGATTCTCACGATGGTACCTAAAGATTACGCTAGATGGCACAAATACGCTATCGGCTAATTTAATATTTATATTACCATATGAGTTTAAAAATATCATTTTGTACGGTTTATTATAAATTGAAAATGAATAATTATATAATAAGTAGTCATTATTTTATGAATATAACAAAAAAATTTTGTAAAAAAAAATTATTTAATTAATTACTAAAATTAGCAAAGCTTTATCTTCTCATTATAACTATCTAATTCCCGTCGTAATTCGTTCTTTTATGCATATAACTTAAAACAAAATAATTTCGAAGTTTCACATATGCCAGGCGTCCCTTTTTTTAACTTAGTACATAGTTTGTTTGTACTTTGTTCATGCTTTTCTTTTATTCATGTATTGTTGTATTGTTTGTAAATATCTCAAGCAAACCCAAACGGCTCTTTTCAAACCCACCGAAGGTGTGCAATTTCATATTATGTCATTACAATCTATCTAGCGGTAGTATGCTTTCTGTGTGCTTTGTTAAACACGTCCTTGTCAGCAGTGAATATGAAACTAGAGAGTGGAGACAGCTCAAGATTGGTGTATTTTTATTAAACTGCTAAAAACAACAAAACCATATCTTGGGCTTGCCCTAGTTTGGAGCCCTAGCTGCGCCACTGCTCGTGGTCAGGCATGACTTCCTATTGGCATTGACAATCAACGACTTCACTACAGATAAATAACTACAGTTATTCTCCTTAAGTGTTCACATTCACATAAAAAAAAACATAAATAATCTTGTTCTTCGAGCTGGACTAAAATGCTGTACTTTATATATACTGAAAGCCATGATACGTTTCTGACATTTCCCATGGTCTATAATGAGAACACTGAGCGAGATTAGAATGACTCTCCAGCATCTTACAGAGGCCCCAGGCGAGGATGGAATTACAGCGGAGCTACTGAAAGCGGGTGGAAAACGAAATCCTTCAGAAGCTCTTTAATTCCGTCCTCCATGGTAGAACTACTCCGGAGACGTGGAGCAGAAGTGCGGTGGTCTTGTTCTTCAAAAAAGGCGACATAACTTTCTTGAAGAACTACAGACCGATTTCCATTCTGAGCCGCGTCTACGTGCTGTTTTCGAGAGTCATTACGAATCGTCTCGCACGCAGACTCGACGACTTCCAGCCTCCCGAACAAGCCGGTTTCCGAAAAGGAATCAGTACCATAGACCACATACATACCCTCCAACAGATTGTACAGAAGACCGAAGAGTACAATCTGCCATTTCACCTCGCGTATGTGGACTATGCCTGCCTCGTTGATCTAGTGGTTGTAGTAGAGCGACTGCTGATCATGAGGTTCTGGGTTCGAATCCCACGTCGGGCCAAAAAAAATCAACAATTGAGTTTTTCCGTCAAGAAATTCTCAGTAGCTGCCCGGAGTCAGGAAGTTGGCGGTGTCTCATCCCCGTGCCTCGGAAAGCACGTAAAGCCGTTGGTCCTGCGCCTGATCTCTCCCCGGCCGTGTCGGTTTACCGTCCCATCGGATCATGAGAGTGAGGGAATAGAGAGTGCACCTGTGGTAGCATACACTTGGGCACTATAATCCAGTTTTGCGCCGATGGCTAGTCTCCGTTGAGGCTGGCCGCCGTGACCGAAATTCGGTCTGAAGGACATTATGTGGACTATGAGAAAGCCTTTGATTCCGTCGAAATTTGCGTGGTGCTGCAGTCCCTTCAGCGATGCCAAATTGACTGTCGATATATCGAAGTGCTGAAGTGTTTGTACATTAGGGATACGATGGCTATCCGAGTACAGAACCAAAGTACGAAACCTACCCAACTGCGGAGAGGTGTAAGACAGGATGACGTTATATCACCGAAAATCTTCACCGCTGCATTGGAAGATGTTTTCAAGCTACTGTACTGGAAAGGATACGGTATTAACATCAATAGCGAGTACATCACTCACTTTCGATTTGCCGACGACTTATTATTATAGTCCTATATATATGGCAGAATCGGTGGAGGACCCAAGTTCCATGCTCAATGACATCAAAAGTGTCTCCTCCCAATGGATAGCTCTTAAGTTGAATATGTACAAAACAAAGATCATGAGTAATGTCCATGTCACACCTATACACCGGTCGTTGGTGGTAGCACTAAGCTCGAAATTGTAGACGAGTAAGTTTATCTGGGACAAATAGTCCAACTATGTAAGTCCAATTTCAACTGAGAGGTCAATCGATGGATTCAACTCGGAAGCTACACAAGCTCAGGAGCGTGCTTGGTGGCATTCCTTCGGGGAGGCCTATGTTCAGCAATGGACTTGTGAAGGTACTGTAATGATGATGATAATGAGAACACATCGTTTAACTCCAATGTTAATCAATACCAAAAATTCTGAACCTTACGCACCTGATCATTAAGTTGTAAATCCGTGAAGCCGGGTATCTGTTTGGCCCATCCAATGACGCCCACCAGCTCTCTATCATAGAGATCTGCTAGTAAGGCTAGTGTTCTTGCAGTTGGGTCTGTCACGCCGGCAGGTGGCGTTGCGCATGTTAACAATTCAGGTTCATAGGATGACAGTGCTTCAAGGATCTGAAATACAAAATGAAATATCATTAGATTCCAATTTATCGAAACACCACATCAGAGATAAAGTCACAAACACATCATAGCTATGTAGCTATGTACCTTGTACATATCCAGTTTAAGTCACTAGTAGTTTGTTGTTGGTTACTTAATGGTTTAAACTGTTTACTGTCAAATTCACTCTGTATGAATTTTCATGACAGTGTCATTACATGCGCAACTGTCGTTACAACGCGTGTATTGTACAATAATATTTTAAGAATATCATTTTTATTTACTTTTATTAAAATCCAGCAAAATGCTGTCAAGTTATAACATGATTAACAATGTAAATATAAGGAAGTAATTATATTAATTTATTTGTTTTTATTTTTGACACAACAGTGACATCGCACCGGTGAGTATTTATTCATGACTGACGGCGCTGCAGCAGCGTTTACCTTCATGTGTCCGTGCAGACAGGCTTCCAGCACTATCGCCTTGATATGTACGTACGGGCATTACAGCGGGCATTACAGAGCGCAGGAGTTCACCTCGATTATGCGGCACAAGCTTACATTAAAAGCTACTTCGGCTCAGCACTCAATTCGCTGTGTATTAGTCGAAACCTTAATGTCGTCGAGATATGAGCTCGCTTCCACCTCGCTACGGTGCGACTGCTCGAGGTGCTGCTGCGTCCATGTGTGCGCAAACCGATTGCAGTACTATAAAGTTCACCTTGCTGTGTATGCGCAGGCCGCATGCAGCGCTGCAGCGCTCACCTCGCTGTTTGTGCGCAAGCTGCTTGCAACAAAACAAAGCTCACCTCCCTATGTGCAAGCACAGTGGCGAAGCTAGAGCTCCAAGCTAGGGCAAGCCCAAGATATAAATTGATAAAAATATAGATTGTTGATTTTAGCAGTTTTATAAAAATACACCAATCTTGATCTGTCTCCACGCTTCAGTTTCATATTCAGTGCTGTCAAGGACGTGTTTAACAAAGCACACAGAAGGCATACCACTGCTAGATAGATTGTATTACATATCAGCAATTGCATAGCTTCGGTGGCTTTGAAGAAAGCCGTTTTGGTTTGTTTAAGCGAAAGAAAAAAAATATTTACATCCAATACAATACATGAACAAAAGTAAAACACGAACAAAGTACAAACTACGTACAAAATTAAAAAAAAATTATTTACATTCTAATGGATAAGAGAAAAAGAAAGGTAAAGGGAATCGTCTCGCTTTCTTATCGAAAGATTTAATTACGTCCACGTAAAATGTTGGTGAACGTTTTAATTGTACCAATAACTGTTATTAATTGCTAAAATTGATAAGTCTGAAATACACTCTTAACCTTGTGTATTATCTCAACAAAGTTTAAAGATTTCCTCCCCGATTATCACTTTAACACACTTCAATTCATCACACGGAACACTATTATCCTCCATTTTCATTAAAATCTTTAAAAAAGTATAAATTTTGAACTCGTAATATTAAATCGATTAAGATAAGCACACAGAGTAAATAAACATTGAAACGTGAAATGAACTTGCAAACGTATTGCCCGCGCGCCTCCGCTTTTAACAAATTCATTCCCAAAAGCCTGGCTTTAAATCTCTATACTAATTGCTATATATACAATCTTAGTTATATTTCATTATAGAATATTTTGCCATAGGTTAGAAAGAGAGCGATCGTCTTCTCGAAAGCCCCGTAAAAAGCCCACGCGAGCGAGGGAGACAACTATTAGCTCTATTAAAACTCATTTTTTATGACAGCAGCAGTATCGCTAATGTCGCCTCTACACGTTGGCCAACACAGTGGCGAACGTAGTGGCGAATATATTGGCCGAGAGTTGGTGACGGCGTCCACACGTTGGAAGGTCGTTCAGTTTACTGCGGTTCGGGCCAATGTGCGGACGGACGACGGCTCCGTGGCGCAGTGGCTTAGCAATGAGTGGCTGTGCCGGGGGGCGCGGGTTTGAATCCCGCACGGAACAAATATTTGTATGTCCTACAACTAATTGTCCCGGGTCTGGATGTGTGTCCTTGTGCAATTTATGTTTGTAAACTGCCTCCGCGATACAGGAGAAAATCCAAGTGTGTGGATAACCTTTTTTATAAAAAAAGTTATAAAAAATAGTTGATATTAATGGGGCCGTAGTATAGATATACGATATACGATTAGCTTTATTTATTCTCTATATGCATCATAAACTGGAATAAATACCATAAATTAGAACTTAACTTATTTTAAAGTTAAAGGAGTTATAATCGATTAGTCTATGTTTTAAAATTAGGTTTTGATTTTAAAGTTTAGCAAAACATGTACTTGCTTTTCTATCAGACATTTGATGTATATAAAAAAACACCTTATAATTTATTTGGTAATTTAATTATTTTTTGAGAAAGACTAAACCAATAGAAATAAATATAATTAACACTCACTTAGTAATAGGTACTAATTATAACTTAGAACATAAATGAAAAACTCATGACAAGGAAAGTGGCTCAGGACCATGCTTTGCGGCAGTATGTGGAGGAGAATGTTCAGTAGTGGACTTGTGAAGAGCTGTAATGATGATGATGATTCGAAAACTTGCAAAATTATAAGAAATCGACGTTTTTTAATAGATTAGGGTGACAAACGAGCACACAGTTCACCTAATGGTAAGTGGTTACAGTGGCCTACAGACATCTACATCTGTCCTCGATTACGAATCAAAATGCAGATGCGTTGTCACCCGTGAGGATTAAGATGAAATGCCTTGTTTCCTTTAAAAAGGGTCTCTGGTTCTCTAAACTCACTATACGAAACACAGCATAATTAAGCTACTATTTTACGCTGATATTCTGTGAAAGCATGGTCCTCCTCCGGTCGAGCCGACCCATTCGTGCTACAACTATACTTCTAATATAACTGCATGGTTCTACCACGTATAAACGACGTTCTTCTTCTTTTTTTTCATTTTAAAATTGTTCTCGTAATAACCTGATTGTAAATAAATGTTCGTTATTTTTTTTTGATAAATAGCTTATCGATTAAAACAAATGTGTAAAAATAATTAAATCGCGCTAATTAAAGTAGTAGGAATATTTAAAGTTGAAATTGGCACTAAAAGGCTAGTAATTGGGGCATCCACCCTACAAAACTTGAATATAAAATTTAAATCAGATGCGTGTAATCACTCTGGGAGCTTGTAGCAAACTAAACGCGAGGCCAACGTGTGGACGCGGCGACCAAACTCTGCCAACAATCCTTTGATCTTTTGTAAAAAACCGACACCACACGGATCTCGCGCCAACTTGCGGGCCATCGTTCCAATACATACCAATGAAGCCCAAACACCCCGTCTACACGTTGGCCAATGCTACTGGCCACTACATTCGCCACTGTGTTGGCCAACGTGTAGAGGCGCCGTAAGGCAATACGAGGTCGTCGGTGGACATGTGTCGAACAGTGGAGTGCGCGGGAAATTTGAAATAGCTTGAAACATTTTACGAGTTATTTTATTAGTTATATTAATTGATTGATATTATTGATTGATTCATGTTTAATAAGTAACCCGTAATAAATTGGATAATAAATGGAAGCTTCGCTACTGTGCAAGCATCTCTCTTGCAGCGCTACAACGCTCACTATGATATTTATGCGCAATCCGCTTGCAGCAGGAACGTCGGGCGCGCGGCAATATTTCTGGTGGCCGCTTGCAGCGTTGCAGCTGCAGCTCACCTCGATATCGTCGAGGTACGAGCAGGGCGCGGGCTGCGCAGGCGAATCGGGCGCTTGACGGTACTCCTGACGGCCGCTTGCAGCGCTGCAGCTCACCTTGATGTCGTCGAGGTGCGGGCGAGGCGCGGGTTCCGCGCGTCAGTACTCCTGGCGGCCGCTTGCAGCGCTGCAGCTCACCTTGATGTCGTCAAGGTGCGGCCGGGGCGCGGGTTGCGCGCGTCAGTACTCCTGGCGGCCGCTTGCAGCGCTGCAGCTCACCTTGCTGTCGTCGAGGTGCGGGCGGGGCGCGGGTTACGCGCGTCAGTACTCCTGGCGGCCGCTTGCAGCGCTGCAGCTCACCTTGATGTCGTCGAGGTGCGGGCGGGGCGCGGGTTACGCGCGTCGTACCTGGCAGCCGCTTGCGCGCTGCAGCTCACCTTGATGTCGTCAAGGTGCGGCCGGGCGCGGGTTGCGCGCGCGTACTCCTGGCGGCCGCTTGCAGCGCTGCAGCTTACCTTGATGTCGTCGAGTGCAGGCGGGGCGCGGGTTACGCGCCTCAGTACTCCGGCCGCTTGCAGCGCTGCAGCTCACCTTGATGTCGTCAAGGTGCGGGCGGGGCGCGGGCTGCGCGTGCGCGTCGGGCGCGCGGCGGTACTTCTGGCGGCCGCTTACAGCGCTGCAGCTCACCTTGATGTCGTCGAGGTGCGGGCGGGGCGCGAGCTGCGCGCACGCGTCGGGCGCGCGTAGTACTCCTGGCGGCCGCTTGCAGCGCTGCAGCTCACCTTGATGTCGTCGAGGTGCGGGCGGGGCGCGGGCTGCGCGGGCGCGTCGGTACTTCTGGCGGCTGCTTGCAGCGCTGCAGCTCACCTTGATGTCGTCGAGGTGCGGGCGGGGCGCGGGTTGCGCGGGCGCGTCGGGCGCGCGGCGGTACTTCTCCGCCGCCGCCCGGCGGCTGCTTGCAGCGCGGAGCCCGCCCCTTGATGTCGTCGAGGGGCGGGCGGGGCGCGGGGTGCGCGGGCGCGTCGGGCGCGCGGCGGTACTTCTGGCGGCCGCCGCGCACGCGGTCCAGGCGCACGCCCTCACGCAGCATCCCGGTGCGCAGGCACTTGCGGAAGCGGCACGCCTGGCACGCCTTGCGCCGCCGCTTGTTTATCTCGCACTCGTTGGACGCCGGACACGTGTACTCTATATTGCCCTGCTCAATTAATTACCTTACGTCATTTTTTTACCAATTTTTAGGAAACTTACGGCCATATACTCAAACGCTACTCAATTTTAAGATGTCGTTAAGTCTAGTGGTGTCTCAGCCACTTTGACTTAAAATGACAGAGACAGCACGAGCACGACAGATTTAACGGCATTTTAAAATTGAGCAGTGTTTAGTATTTAAGCATTATAGATATACAATACTAAAAATTGCTAACAATTTAAATACAAAGAAGATTGGTATATTGAAAAGCTGCAACAAAATATAAAAATATAGTAAATAACGTACAGTACCCGGCGATAAATATTGCACATCGACCTTTGAAAAGAGACAATCGGCTAATTTCCGCTTCGTAGAGCGTTATCTCTGTCGCACACTGACTGCCGGACTGTTTGTATTTCGTGCGACAGAGATAACGGTCTACGAAACCGAAATTAGCTGATTGTCTCTTTCCAAAGGTCGATGCGCAATTTTTTATCGCCGAGTATTGTAGTTAGTCGTTAGTCGAAGATTTTAAAAGGCGATTTTTATTGTCCTTTTATAATTTTTAATTACTAAAGTATACAAAAACTTAAAATTAATTGTTTTAAGAAACGACCTCTAGATTCTTTTCAGGTTAAAAATCCCAACAAAACTTATTTCAGACTGTCAGTACTTTATACGATTGTAAGCATGAATTTTGACAAAAACCGAATATTTATTGACTTCAATATTATGTACGAAGCAAAATGTGTTAGACAAAGATTTTAAATGCGGTAATACTGGCTTTTAGAAATCGCCATTGTATAATTTCGAAGTTTTTTAGGTATATTCAACCCACGCCTATATACACATCGATCATCTTCATCATTACAGCCGTTTAAATGCCAACTGCTGAACATAGGACTCCCCCAAGGAATGCCACGAAACACGATCCTGAGTCACCTGCATCCCATCGATTTCCTGCATATCTTAACAGGTCGTCACTCCATCTAGTGGGGGATCGCCCAACACCTCGCCTACCAGTACGATGCTGCCACTCGAGAATCTTTATTCCCCATCGATAGTCTGTTCTTCAAATTGTATGACCGGACCATTTCCACTTCGGCTTACTTATTCGTAAAATTTAATTATAGTTATTATAATATTCATAAAGATTGTTAGAGAATGCCAGAGAGCATAAAATACGTCCCATGTCACCCCTAGTTGAAGGTAGGAAGAATCGACTTCCAGCTATATATTCGGCCCATAGCCACTTTAGCTTTAATACTCGTTTATTTCATCCCGTCGGTGCCATAAGAAACAACTATGGGAAAAAAACAAAAATCGAGACCAATCTCGTGAACTCGTGATATCTAACATAATACATATAACATAAACACTCACGCCTGTCACCCAGAGGGGTAGGCAGAGACTACGGACTTCCATTTGGCACGATTCTGACATACCTCTTTCGCCTCCTTTACATCCATATATCTACGCATACATGCTCGTCGGTTAAGGGTACTTCTAACGTGGCCCCTTTTCAAAATATCGCCAATTTGGTCGATAAACTTTTTTATAGGGCGTCCCTTCCCGACTCGACCGTTCACATCTGTCATATAAATTTGCTTTGTCACTCTTTCCTCATTCATTCTTTCTACATGACCAAACCACCGAAGCATTCCTTTCTGAATCCTGGTCACAACATCATCTTGCATACCACATTTATCTCTTATCACGCAATTTCTCACCCTGTCATTCAGATTCAACCCTAGCATACTCTTTAAAGACCGCATTTCTACAGCATTTATTCTACTCTCGTGCTTCTTCTGCCACACCCAGCTTTCACTACCATACATTAAAGTAGGGACTAACACAACATTATGAATTACCATACGTGCCTTTTTTTGACACATTCTGGTTCTTCACAATAGAGTGTAGTGCCCCATTCACTCCATTGCCTGCATTTACTCGTCATTCTATATCCCTATCATATCTACCATCCCTGCTAAATACACACCCCAAATACACAAACTCATCCACTTGCTCAATTAACTCTCCTTCTATTCTTATTTCACATACCGTTTTGCTTTCTTCTCTTTCAAAAACCATCACTTTCGTCTTATTTGCGTTCACTTTCATTCCCCTTTCTTTTAATTCCCAGTTCATTAATGTAACCATCATTTGCAACTCAGCCGCCGATGACGCAAATATGACTTGATCATCGGCATACAAAAGGCATTTGACGGTTAACTCGCCCATTCTTAACCCACATTCTTCATCTATCAAAGTTTGCAAACACCTGTCCATAAATAGGTTGAACAGCCAAGGGGAAGCTACACAGCTCTGTCTGACACCTTTTTGGATGCCAAACCAGTCCGAGTAGACCCCATTGATCCTGACACAAGCACTAGAGTCCCTATAAAGAGACCTTAATGCCGGTATCAAACCAGCGCTCAACCCATATGAGTTCAGTGTTTGCCATAACACATTCCTGTCCACTCTGTCACAAGCCTTTTCCAAGTCCATGAACGCACAAAAAACTTTCTGGTTTTTAGACAAACTCCATCCCTACCGTATTATTCGAGTCGTGAACACACCTGTATGGTCCGTTTAAAGAAGGCTTTACAGGCTTCGCAGCTCGCGACTCCGTAGTGGAAGCCGGAGGCGACGTCGCCGCACACGAGGCAATAGCGGCGCGGCGAATCCTCGTCCCGCGCGCCCCCCGCGGCTGCAGCAGTCGTCGACGAGCAGTGCTGCTGCTCCGGGCTGGTGTTGCCAACTACACCGTTCTCCGGCGACACGCAGAACTTCACCTCCTCCTTTGGCTCGAGCTCCAGCTGTTGCCAACAAATTGGCTTAAAATAAGGGTGAAAATCGAGCACACAGACACGTATCCTCAATTACAAAACAAAATACAGATACGTTGTCACCCGTGAGGACTAAGATGGAATGCCTCGTTTCCAGCCAAAGTAAAAAGGGTCTCCGGTTCTCCACACTCACCATACGAAATACAACAGTATTAAGCTACTATTTCACGCTGATATTCTGTGAGAGCGTGGTCCTTCCCCGGACGAGCCGACCCATTCGTACTACAACTATACTACTAATATAACTGCAGTATGGCTCTACTAAATATTTGATCGTAAGTGGATGCTGTGGCAGATGAAGGTGTCTACATACAACCTAGATTAAGAATCAGCGACAATTACAATACGACTAGTGAGTTCCGGTTACTAACGTAGTTACCAAATTGAAGTAACAAAAGTACTCATTACTCCAATTTGGTTACAACGTTAGTTTGTTTGCAAAAAATGCTCCGATTTTCGAACTCGGGGCCGACAACAACATGAACAACAGTATACTGTGACGTGAACCGATGAGCTAATGAGCTAAACGGACGTCGCTTTATTTACAGTAATATGTAAAAACAAAAACAAATATATACTATTTTATATATAATTATGATCTTATTCAATTAGTACCCAATTCTCAATAAATTCTGTCATTATTAAATTATTTATGTCAGTACCTACTGGTGAGACAATATATTTTATTAATTATAAAAGTGAGAGAATTAAAAGTCGAAAAAACCCACAATTGTCAAATTAAAAAAATTATATACGTAAAATACGTAAAAATCGTGACTCTTACCAATTACAAATCAATACGCCAAATCTGTGTGATGAAGGACGAAGCAAGTGCGCAGATAAATGCATCGTAATGCACACAGTGGATACCTTTTTTATTATAATAAATTAAATAATTATAACTGTCGAAAATTCTCAATACAAAATGCATTTTACGTCTAAAATATGCACACCCAGAAATTAAAGTGCCCTATATAAGTTGCTATTAAAAATTACAGTATGATATGAGTGCGTGCACTTGAAATTGCAACGAAGATCACGTTAAATGTTTATGGAGAATAATTAAATTAAATTAACTTTAAAATGAATAAAAAAACACGTTTCTTTTTAAAAAAATTTTCTACGCAATACAGCTCACTGATGATTACAATAGAGTTTAAATCTAGGACGTGCTACAAAACCTAGGTTTAAAATCTGACACAATAACATTTCACCTAGTTATTGATTTTCAGTCTGTGCTCCTCTTCGTAAGAAAGAATGCATCCGTATCCGATCTAGTGTTCGACTGAGCGATGCTCGCGTGCAGTGGAGACGTATCACCGATTTTAGTTTATTGGTTAGGAGAGGATAAGCCTGGATACTCACCTGGGGAGCATGTATCATCGGCACCGGGCGGTGAGGCGGGTGCTCCGCGAGCGTTTCTGGCGAGTACTGGGGCGGGGGCTCCGCTTCCTGCTTCACGCGGCGCAGCATAGGCTCCCCGCTCACCGCGGACATCATCTGCACCTGCAACTGTGAGTGCTCTAGATTAAAATGAATTATATGAAGGTGAACGCGAGCGATGGGAACTTGGACTTTAATACATCACGATAAGGGTCGCGAAATATAATATTTAACCGAATATTTTTCAACGTGCGAGTACAAGCTTCGTTTTTAATTTTAAGGTCGTTTATTTGTTAAATCGTCCAGGTCCAGATGTTGTCAAGTACTTTAAGTATCGTAGGTACTGGAGTCATAGGTACTTGAAAAGGGTACAGTTATATTTTTAAATTAAGTAATAATATTGATAGCTATTTCCATAATACATAACTATTATTACATAGAAACATAAGTGCACGTTCTTAATTTTTTAGTATGAACAAAACAATTAACGACTCTATAGTGTAGTGGGTTCGTTAGTGAGCATGCTCCACTTGTAGAAATTGCCGTTAAAGACGTGTCATACATACGTCATCATTAACTTTCGTGAGTTATAACTTATAACAAAAAGGAATCCTTGTATTATCGATGGTGATGATCACTCCTAGTGTAGCGGTGTTTGCTTTAATGGTGACAGTGATGGTGCACGCAATTGTGGGAGGAAGGGAGGTGCTTGCTGTTTAGACTAAGTAATTTTGATTTCGATTAGAATTCGAACCTAGACCTACTACAACTTATTTAGGTACAAACTACAGAGCTACAAAATCGTCAATCACTATAATCATTTTCAATCAACTTTAAGTGCAATAAAATTATTCAAAAATTAACCAAATACAACACGAAACTGTGAATAACCAATATGAACTAAGTAATCCGTTTTATGTTATAAAACTACACACACTCTTCACACTGTTAAGTTATATAAGTTAAGTTATAGTTTAACAAGATAACAAACGTGCAATCACGTTTAATCTTTTTCAAAATAAAAACATATTCTAAGACATCAACATACCATTAGATATTACAGGCTTCAGGTCGTCGTAACGTTTAGCTTCCATAGATGGCGTTGCTTTCAATTAAAATGTAATGTTACTTTTTAATTTATTTTATTATCTGTTAATGTGATATTTTTCTTTAAATAATAAAATATTGTCTAGAGAACTCAAACATTTAATTACAAATTCGATCCAATATTCTTATTTTAGATCTTTAATTTTTCACTCATATTATTAATAAGTTTCGCGATAAAGAATAAGAGCGCGAATAAGAGCGCGCTGCTTGAGTCTAAGGCGGCAAATTTTTAGGTATTGTATTTTTTATGATTCAAAAATAAGGCACAAGTACATTTTTAAAACATACTTTTCAGAAAGCATGGTCACGGCGCAGCGTCCCCTCAGCACCCGAAACTTAGAGAATTGAAAATAATTATACACGATAAAATCCGATAGTTTTTTTCAATGTGTAGTGTTCGCCTAAATATGTATAAGGTTGGTCTAGTAGTTGTAGTAGTGCGAGTGCGACTGCTGATCATGAGCTCCTGGGTTCGAATCCCGGGTCAGGTCCGGAGTCAGGAAGTTGGCGGTGTCACCCCCGTGCCTCGGAAAGCACGTAAAGCCGTTGGTCCTGCGCCTGATCTCTCTCCGGTCGTGTCGGTTTACCGTCCCCATCGAATTACGAGAATGAAGAAATAGAGTGTGAACCTGTGCTTGCGCAAACACTTGAGCACTATAATCTTGTCCTGCGTCGACATTATGAGGAATCACAGGTAATAAATAATAATAAACTTTCTAAACACTAGGTGGTCTTTCGTTTCTTCCGTTCTATGCTTAGGCGTCTGTTTGAGTTGACCATCTTACTATTTCTATCGTCGACCAACAATGTACAATGAAACTTAATAAATTTAGAGGCGTTACATCTTTTTCCTCAGGTTTGTTTGTGTACAGGTGTCCATAGCCGTAGTAGGCACATACCATCAGGCATCAGGTGGACTGTTACTTGACCTACGAACGGCAATAAAACAATAAATTCAGTAGGCATCTTTGACCTTGTCACTTCGTCACAGGCTAGGGTGAGTATGATTTGAATTTCGATAGATTTTAATTTATTTATATATTTAATTCAAAATGTTGTCTTTATTTTTTGTAAAATATCAGTGCCATAGGCTGCTACTCCGTTCACATGTTACACCCAACTTTTTTGAGACGATAAAAAAGGTCACCAGTATATAACAATCAAATAGTATTTTGACGTTAACATACCTCACATTAAAAAGGGCGTCTAACGGTCTGATGTCACAGATTAAATAATGTTACTTTGTAACTACTGCTTTTATGGCGTATAAGTCAAATATAGCTTTTTAACGTAGGTTCTTTGCGAACTTAATAATAACAGAAGTTTTGACAGGTAATATTATATATTTCAATTGCGTAAGCTAGTCTCGTAACTTTATATTATTTAAAAGGGCTACGTCCGAAGCAAAGACTTTTAACCTTAGATATATTATTTTGATGCGCAACAAATTGAATTAGGCACTGTGAATAATTGAATATACAGAATAATTGAATATACAGAATAATTGAATATTGACAAATTGAATTAGTCGTTTACGTGAATTAATGAATTTCATTATTATAATGCACAGTCGTCTTTCTTATTAAGACTGTAGGTTACCAATCAGATTTTATTTCATACAAGTAAATTAACAAATGAACCTATACTCCCCCTGATGATAAGTGGACGCTGTTGCCCATAGACATTTACATCTATCTATAGAATCAAAATATATAATATAATATTCCTATGATGACTGAACCTGGCCGTATGAGGACGCTCCAGGTTGCTCAGTGAGCTATGGAGAGGGCTATGCTCGGGGTTTCTCTGCGTGATAAACTCAGAAATGTGGATATCCGCAGTCGAACCAGAGTAAGACATAGCTCAACGGATTAGTAAGCTGAAGTGGCAATAAGCCGGCCATATAGCTCGAAGAACCGATAAACGATGGGGAAAAAAGGTTCTCGAGTGGCAGTATCGGAATCTCGTACCGGTAGGCGTAGTGTAGGGAGACCCACTAAATGGAATGACGAACTGGTAAGACATGCAGGAAGTCGATGGATGCAAATGGCCCAGGACCGTGCTTTGTAGCATTACTTAGAGGAGGCATATGTTTAGCGGTGAACTTGTGAAATCTGTAATGATGAAATGATGATGATGACTGAGATGGAATGTCTCGCTTCCAGTAAAAAGGGTCTACGGTTCTCTACACTCATCATACGAAACAGCAGAATTGAGCTACTATTTTACGCTGGTATTCTGTGAGAGCGTAGTCCTTCCCCGGTCGAGCCGACCCACCGTGTCTGTGTCTATGTCTGACGATCAGAGAGTTATATTTCTGAGTCTTTCATGTTGATGACTGAAATTTCGTTCTAGAATAGGGTCTTGATAAACCGTTATACCTAAAAACGCATGTTAAAATTATTGACCCATTCAGGTTTAGTTTTCAGGGGTTCATGAGGAAAATTAAAAAGAAATGTTGAAGATTGTCGTGTGGAGTGTTCGTTAAAAGTTTTTTGAAGCACTATTTTAAGCTTTATTTTGTTTTTGTTTTTTTCGAATTAGTTATGAAGGTATTAGAATAATTTTTGAAACACTTTTCGGGAAAAATATTTGAAAAGTTGAACAATCTAATACATAATTTAGGTTAGATCAGGGAAGGGGATGCCCACGGATGCGTAATTGCGCTTATGATAATATAACAATAATAATGATAATGTCCTCCAGACCGAATTCGGGTCACGGCGGCCTGCCTCAACGGAGGCTAGCCATCGACGCAGGACAGGATTATAGTGCCCAAGAGTATGCGCAAGCACAGGCGCACTCTCTATTCCCTCACTCTCATGATCCGATGGGACGGTAACCGACACGACCGGAGAGAGATCAGGCGCAGGACCAACGGCTTTACGTGCTTTCCGAGGCACGGGGGTGAGACACCGCCAACTTCCTGACTCCGGGCAACTGCTGAGAATTTCTTGACGGAAAAACTCAATATTTAATTTTTTGGCCCGACCCGGGATTCGAATCAAGGACCTCATGATCAGCAGTCGCACTACTACAACCACTAAGCTAACGAGGCAGTCAAAGATACAATATAGTAGTAAATAATAAAGTAAATAAGTAGTAAGTAAAAATATAGTAGGGGAGCGGGGGGGCACGTTGTTACAATTTTTAGATAGTTGTTAATATGACAAAAGCTATCAAATAAATTATACATTTGATTACTTGTAATGTTAGTATGTCTATTTAGCTATTAAAATATGACTGAAAAATTATTAAAATTTATGTAATTTTTTCACAATGGAGAATTTAACTAAACAAGTAGATTGTAACATCTTACCCCGGAATTGGGGCTAGTTGTTACATCATCGGGGCACGATGTTACAGTAGATAAATAGACAAAATCATCAGTGATACATATTTTTTTATTAGTATTTCAAAATGATATAAACAATAGAGATCACTTTATACAGTCTTCTAACATTTATGAGTAATTATAATATCTATTATGGTAATTATTTAAAAAAAATTGTAGAAAATCACTTTGGCAGGAACATTTTTAAATCTTATATAAAAACACAGACTTAGCCTGCAAATAATAACTTGTAGTAATTAAATTATTCACTTTTACTTGTTGTAATGGTTTTTCCTGGATGATTATTCATCCACATATGAATTTTAGAGCACTTTGATAAACTAGTTTGCGTACTTCTGTTGATAGTAAACCAAAATATATTTCTGAACTTTTGAGTAGATAAGAAGCTAATTTATATTCTGTTTCTTCTGAGAATACCAATCTAGGTTTAACGTAACCCAATGAACAACTTTCGTTGTTTTTGGTTTTTCTGACATACCTGGATAAGGACATCGGACACAAATTAAACATCTCGCTTGCTTTACGAATGCTCGTTTTATTCTGCAGTACTTCTGCTGCAGCAGATTCATAAAGTTCTTTACTAGTTGTACCTCTTTCTGTTTTTCTTTTATAGTTTCTCATTCTGGAAAAAAACAAAGAATATGTAGAATTT